CAAGATACATATTGTTAAGGCACGGCAAACACAGTGACAATATCTCAGAGTGTAATATAAAAAACGACAAAATGTGCATTGTAGTACTGCATTAATGCTGGGTGTCCTTCAGGACACATTCAAGAGGAGGAAAAACAGCAAAAAACAACAACAATAAAAGAAGGGTGCTTACGACTTACAGAAGAACACTAACACGGACTACAAAGATCACTCCCAAAAAACTGACCAGGTTTTCAATTTTTTTTTTCAATTTTTTCCATCCGTGGCGTAGTTCCTTTTAAGTTTTGAATAATCTTTGGTTCAGCCTGTTCAAGGTGGAGGCATACAGGCTGCACGTACCTGGCTTGTTGAGAGTTTGTAGTGTAAGGCGTACTGGTACGAGCTATCCATAAAAAGTTCGGGGAGGTTCATTCGTGATTCTATGGCCGCTAACTTCATTCCTAACAAGTGTCTGTCGATAGCTTGACCATTGACCGCCTGAGAGCAACATGAAACACAAATGTACATGGATTACACAATTCAACACAACAGAATACTTTCACTAAGGAAGCCTGGACTTCGTGAACTAATTCTTTCAACTTTCTTCAGTACATGAAAAAAATAAATAATAAAATAAATGCTTTCCTGGATTCATTGTAGACAGAAGCATAGTAGCTCTCGTAAGCTTGTAACCGCTGTTATTGGTTTAAGGCGAGGGACATTGTTTCTGCTGTTTGTTTTATTGTTCCCATAAAGGGTATTGAGCCATTCATGTGAGACTTTACGAAAGCTGCTACATGACCCATTGCAGGAACACTCAATGACCTGGAAAACCTATTCAAAGCTGCAGTTCATTTTGTTTCCAGTTTGGCCTTTATGGCTGGTGGATAACAAAACCCTGCAAGTTCACTTTAGCCGACACTGTCTTCAGTTTGTCAAAAGCAATGAGAACACAGCAAAGAACATCCGAGACACTGTCGAGCGTCGATCCCAGGACTTCCCGCTTGAGGTCTGTCGGTTGCTGGTTCAACGGAGCCATAGAATACTCACAGTGAGCTAATGGTCACGTGTCTCTTATTCAGTTGCGTTGTTACATGTATAAGAGGTTGCAGTCGAGCAGTTGGACATTGTATGACATTGGTTTGACCCCGTCTGGGAAGCAGATATTTCTTTTTCTGTGTTCCAGCACTGCTTGTGACCAACCTAATTCAGTTTAACTACACATCACCGAACTTAACCGTCAACATCGCCGGTTGCTTCTATTGTGATCAGTTACCTCTTTAGTGTATGTTGCATGTGCTGATATCGCCTTCTGCATCAAGTCCAGTTTTTCAGCATTCTGCAGAGTAGAAACAGGGACAAATTTTCAATCATACATATGTTTGTTCCTTGCCAATATAAAGAAACAGCTTATGTATACAAACAGTTAGAAGAGATAAAGAGGAGCGCAACTGACCTTTTTGACTAAAAATAAAACCCTTTGGTAATAGTAAAGACCTCGAAGATCAAGTAGACTACGAGGAGTCCCTCTTTCGCTTTGTCCGTCGTGCGTGACGCGAACGCACGACGGACTAAGCGAAAGGGGGACTACTCGTAGTCTAAAGATCAAGCGATCCAGGTTGCCCCCTACTCTTCACCCAAGTTCATAAATGGGTTCCAGCAAGTTTGGTGCTGGGGATACATGTAGTCAAAAACTGCCCTGTTATGGCCTAGCATCCTGGCAAAGGAAAGTTCAGGGAAATACAACTAACCGCTTCATCCCACAGAAACTGGGATATGCTCTGGCACCTATGACTTTGATCCAATTCAGACTTTTAATACTCACAGTTTTATTTGGTGAGACCATGGCCTTGACAAACTCAGAGGAGGCAATGGACGCCGAGCGAATGGTATCCGTTCTTCCAAGGAGGAACTTTCGAGTAGAACCAGTTTCATATGTTGGAGGATTGTGATTGTGAAGTCTGAAAAGAGATATGAGAAAATGAATTATGCCAAAATACAACTTACCACAACAGTTCAAAATAATGAATGTGTTGATTAATGCACTCAGTTGGTGTTCATGACGTCTGTTATAAAACCGTAATTTAGTAATGTTCAGTACTTTCATAATACCTGTAAAATGTCAACTGGTATGCCATTTGTATCCAAGCATCTGGACTCATCTTTTGCTTTTTGACAAAATCTTTACCATACCCAGTATAAACAAAACACCTCAGGTCAATGTCACTGACCATGCTAAGAAAAGAAACAAAATTACAAAAAGAGATTAGTTTATAGGCACAATTCTGGCACAAAGTTTTCATGAACTTTTAGCATATGAACTACCCTCCAGAGCTGCATAGAGGACACCATCAAATGGAGGAAGTGCAAGTGGATTGGACTCACTCTCCTAAAACCTAGGAAAATGGAACTATAGAGTTCCAGGAAGAAGGGTCAGCCCAGTGTACATTTCATGGAGGCACAGCACACTAGAAAAACTGGAAACATGTCTTGACTTAAAAGACCAAGAACATGTGCCAAATGGAGTTCAGTGAAGAGCCTGGATAAATGACTTAACAATTTTGTTCTCCTATGAAGTGAAAATAGCAAAGAGAGCGATACATGTCTGACAGCTCACCTGTCCAGGTCAGCAGCTGACTGCTGGATGACTTCCTTTACTTTATTGGTCAAGTTCCATGTCAACTTGGATGGAGTTTCTAAATGGTTTCCTTCTGATGGTTTTATTTCGTAGTGACCATCCCTAGTAAAATATAGCATCGATACTTAATCTTGTTATAGATCCTTACTTTTAACATTCCAGTGTGACAGAAAACAACAACAAAAGATATATTCTTGATTGTACTTGTTCTTTACTTTGTAGCTTGTGCATGGACAGTACAGGGTGACATTTTGGCCACATGTACCCAAAAACCTACATGTAGTCACCCTCCAAATCAAGCCATGCAAAAAGGCTGTTAAATACAAACAAGGGTTAGGTGAAAGTTCATTTTCAAGTGTGAGTTTCACTTACAGGTTTTCAAGTATATAATTACAAAGAGAAGCCACAGGAGGACCTTCTGCCGCAGAGTGTTCATAACACATTCCAGCATGTCCATCCTCACTCACACAGATCTATAACACAATCATAAACATTTCTCTGCAATCTATTTGATTCAACAGGTGCTCTTAATTGGGTTCATGAGTACTGTCCACAGGAGAGGAAATGTTGCTTGATGAGTCCAAAAATCTGTGTAGGAGGCTATACGCTATAAAATCTATGTACAGTACATTATACAGCTGAGACAGAGTTAAAATTATGAACACTAATGGGACCTTTATTAGGAATTAAAGAAGTGGTGGCTTACATTTGTCGAGCAATTAAGTTTTTATTTTTGTACTTAGTTTTCCTTCAGAACTTGAGAATGAATTTTTTTTCCCACTTGACGAACAACCATAATAATCAATGCCTGGCTGCCAGGCTAGAGTACACATCCTAGTTACAGGAAAAATGATTTTCTTTGCACCCTGAATATTTTCTTTATAATTATAAACTGTGTACAAAGTACCTGAACGATTTTATCAAACCATCTGTTGCAGCTGTTGTATTCTGTACCATCTCCATGCATGCACTGTCTGGCTGTAACAGACGAGGTTGGCATCTCCATGACACTAGGAGATTGGGTGGAGTGTGGGGGAGGCTGGTCTAAACAAAGAAGGAAGATTGCCTTCTCTACAGCTTCCAGGTTGGCCTTGTTGTGACGATCTATGAATTTAAGACAATGGAAGTGCTGTCATATGAGATAACATTAAATCATAATTTTTATAATCAGCTTTAATAAATTTTGTATGACATCCTTTTCCTATTAAATATAGTTAGCTTCATTCCCACGCTTTAGAGACTGTAATAGAGTCTTGCTATATTTTATTATTAATATTATTATTTTTTTATTATTATTATTTTTTTATTATTATTACTATATACACGAATTGGAAGAGTCAATATTATACACACTTGACATGTACAATGTATACACATATATACATAAATATGGTCCACAATTAATGCAGGTTAACTGACAAATGACCAATACTCACTCCACACAGTGTAATTTAAGTGCATGTACAATCATCATACATAAAAATGCAGACAGGTATCACAATCCAGCCAGCATTTTTCTCTCCAGAAATCAACTCCTAGGTACGTGTATGTTTTAAACGTTTGATAGTCACATGGAGGAGAAGTGAGGGGAACCAAATTCAAGAGAACCTGTTTAATCAGTGTTGTATACATTAGCTAGATTTTAAAATTTGATAAATTTTTGGCATACTTTTTTTTTGCTACAGGTATTTGTATATTATAAATAGTTTTAGGATTAATGTAGATGTATTTTTGTGAGGAGGGGCACAAGGTAATCAGTGTCATCTAGTTGGTTATCCACTGTCTCATGTTTGTATCTTCTCTAAATAAAGTCTGTATTGTATTTTATTGCACATAACATAATTATGTGCATACATGTAGAGTAGCTTACAGCAGATGTATTAAAATCATCCCACACTAGTCATAATGTATATCAATTTGGAACCCTGTCCTATGCTATATATAATTATTGTGTACAGATTAAAATATGTACCTTTCAACAGTCTCTTTCGCTGTTTTGCCCAAACTGTTCGGTCAGCAGTGGTTAGGATTCCAACAGGTTCTTCCTGAGGTTCACTGTTGTTTAATATCTTCTCCAACTGAGTAACCAACTCTCCTTCACTGAGAAGCCGGCTTCCATCAAACACATTCAAGACGTAAAACTGTGCAAAAAGGATGTTGATGCAACGATTCATTTCTTTTTTTAAGTTACATGTCATTAATCGGTAGGGAGTAAGGAATAAGGACACTGTTTTCCTCTGTTAGTTTTTCACTATGTGGCTCTAGCATTCCCTGTTAATTTTCCATTTTGATTCAACAAGGCAAACGTTACATAATTTTCAGAATTTTGGGCACCCAAAAACCATGAGATCGGGAGTCTTGTTGCGAGGCCATAACAAAAGATAAAAAATTGTGACACTCGCAGCAGAATCATGAGAGTTGGCAAGTCTGTTTGTTCCTTTAAAATATGATTTTTGCTTCATTTTCAAACACTACAGTCAAGGATTGCAATTATTTTTGCCCACCTCCCCTTAAGTTCCTGCAAGGCCCCTATTTATCATGCAAGAGAGCCCCGAGACCCCCTTAGGAAAACTCTTGGTAAGAACACTGCAATTTCTCACAGTTTTCTTTCGCATCATGCACGACAGTCTAAGCGAAAGAGGGACTACTCATACAGCAGTCTACATTTTACCTTACTCACTCGGAAAGTGCAAAATAATACCAATAAGAATAATAACCTGGTTTTTGTGAGCAACTAATACATGCTTCGCCGTTCCTTTGGGAGCCACAAACACTTCATCTCTGATTGGCTGAGGAATTCGACAGGAACAAAGTAACTTCAAGTACTGAGCCATGCATAATGGACTTTTCCCCATTGTATCTACAGGAAAAGCCTCCCTGAAATTTTTAGCAATGAAGTTACATTGTAGTTACAAACACATTTAATTAACTTTGTCTAGTTTAAATAATAGTAACAAGTCTCTACTTACATATCTAGAAGGTCCTTGAACTTTAGCACACTTGAAATTACTCTTGCAGCATACCTATAAATAAGTCAAAAGCTGCAAATTAAAGTCTCACTTAGACAATGGTCCCGTAGGTATCTGCAAGACAGACATCAATCATCAGATATTGCTTTTAAAACTCATCCTGTTTTACCAAAATTAGTATTTTAAAACTGAAAAATGCATATTAATTACGCTTACTTTAAGTGCCCAGTCTTGTCAGTAAATGGAACCTTAGGAAAGGCAAGGCCTGGACTTGTTGTTATCACTACAGGTGATCTGCAATCAAAATAAGCAGCATTGTCCCACCATGTGGCCAGCTATAAAAGGAAAAGAACATCATACACAGGTACATTATTATTGTATCTTTTCTCGTTAGTGGCCAACGTACAACAAAGAAGT